CTCCTCCTCCTCCTCCTCCTCCTCCTCCTCTATGGGAATGCAGATCCAGTCAGGGTTTCATGTTTAAAAAGAGAGCAGCGCGCACCAACAGCAACATGGCTTCCTGTCCCCAGTAGCACATGTCTGGCTGGGATATCCGTGCCACTAGGACTGAAACGGGACCTGCTGGGGAACCCTGACTTGGCAGCTGCTGTGGGTGTGTCGGTGCCCTCCACGGACTTCCGGGATCTCCCGCCATACCTTCTGCTCCCCAGCACAGAGACACGGGCCTGGTGGAGTGGACTGGCCCATCCCATGCTGGGCCTAGAGCCCGGGTGGGGCATCCGAACTGAGCCAAGCCAGGAGTCACCTTGAGTCCCAACCAGCACCTCAATGCCACCCACCACCCAGAAGTTGCAGTGACCGGTGTGAAAACCCCACATCCTTCCTGATTTCGTAAGTTTTCTTCACCCATGAAGTAGTAGAGAGGCTTCCTGTTACCACGTGTATCTCAGTCACCCCTTCCCTGCACTTTTCCTGCGTGTGCTGATCCAAAGCAACGGCTTAACCCTGTGTGGGGGTGGGGGTGGGGGGTATATCTTGAGCCCTGCTGGTGGACCTCCTGAGGCCACCTGGTTTTTGGCCCATGTGTGGGACACAGGAGAGTGTTGGACTGGACTGATCCAAGAGGGCTTCTCTCGTGTTCCCTTACGAGCTCCTGCTGCATGAAACCTCTCCCCCTCCCCGGTGCCAGCGTAGCCCTTTCCTGCCCCAGAGGTTGCCTCCTGACTAACATGCCCTATTCTGCTTGCTCAGGGGAAACTATCTGAGGCCCCTTTGGGTGGGTGGGGGCTGGCAGAACGAGCTGCAGGGACTTGCCAGCAGCCTTCAGCGGGAGAGAGCGGGGGAACCTTGGCCTGTGCAGCTGGCTTAGGGGGGCAGGAGAACCTCCCCTCTGGTGGGATGCAGCGCCTCAGCCCCGCCTCCTTTGAGCAGGAGAGCAGGGGAGACGGCACTTCCACCCCGGCAGCCTCTCCTCTCAGGGGAGGAGGGAGAACTTAAGAACGCCAATGTTGGATCAGGCCAAAGGCCCATCCAGTCCAACACTCTGTGTCACACAGTGGCCAGAAATACCAGTGCCATCAGGAGGTCCAGCAGTGGGGCCAGGACATTAGAAGCCCTCCCACTGTTGACCCCCCAAAGAGTGATTAACACTTGGAATTCACTGCCACAGGAAGTGGTGGCGGCTACAAGTACGGACGGCTTCGAAAGGGAATTAGATAAGCATATGGAGCAGAGGTCCATCCGTGGCTATTAGCCACAAGGTATAGATAGGGACTCTGGGGAAAATATAAGATTGCTGGGGAAAAGATCAACAACCTCAGATATGCAGACGATACCACTCTAATGGCAGAAAGTGAAGAGGACCTAAAGAGCCTCTTACTCAGAGTAAAAGAGGAGAGCGCAAAAGTGGGCTTGAAGCTCAACATCAAAAAAACTAAGATCATGGCATCCGGTCCCATCACTCCTTGGCAAATAGAAGGGGAAGTCATGGAAGTAGTGACAGACTTCACGTTCCTGGGATCCCAAATCACCGCAGACTGTGACTGCAGCCATGAAATTAAAAGACGCCTGCTACTTGGGAGGAAAGCGATGGCGAACCTAAACAGCATGATAAAAAGTAGAGACATCACCCTGCGAACAAAAATACGCATGGTCCAAGCAATGGTATTCCCAGTAGTCATGTATGGCTGCGAGAGCTGGACTATAAGGAAGGCCGAGCGCCGAAGAATAGATTCTTTTGAACTATGGTGCTGGAGGAGACTCTTGAGAGTCCCTTGGACTGCAAGAAGAACAAATCAGTCAATCCTCAAAGAAATCAACCCTGACTGTTCCCTGGAAGGCCAGATAATGAAACTGAAGCTCAAATACTTTGGCCACCAAATGAGAAGGGAGCACTCACTGGAGAAGACCCTGATGCTGGGAAAGATTGAAGGTCAAAAAAGACGGGGACGGCAAAGGATGAGATGGTTGGACAGTGTCATCGATGCAATGTACATGAAACTGAGCAAACTTCAGAGGACAGCGGAAGACAGGAGGGCCTGGCGGGATCTAGTCCATGGGGTCGCGAAGAGTTGGTCTCGACTGTGCGACTGAACAACAACATAGATAGGGACTCTGGGGCAAGTGATGCTCTGTCTTCTTGGTGCTTGGGGGGGGGGTCAACAGTGGGAGGGCTTCTAATGTCCTGGCCCCACTGGTGGACCTCCTGATGGCACTGGTATTTCTGGCCACTGTGTGACACAGAGTGTTGGACTGGAAGGGCCTTTGGCCTGATCCAACATTGGCATCTCTTAAGTTCTTTTGAGAACGGCTCTGCCACAGCGGCCTGGGGCACCTCTTGCCCGCTCTTGCCCTGCCACAGACCCCTCCTGCCCAGAGACTGTCTTGAGCAAGCAGCACGGTGGGTGGGTGGGTGAGCGGGGGAGAGGCAGGCCGCTGAGCCTGTTCGCGTGGGTGGGGGCAACAGTCTTGTCTCCTCTCGGCTCCCGGGATGCCGCTGCATGGAATGGGTCCCCTTCCGGGCTGGGGGCTTCAGCCAAGCCCCACCAGAAGGCGCCGGCTGCGGGGATCTCCCAGGAAGGCCCTTCAGCAAGCGAGCAGCAGCAATGAAAGAACCGCAGACCCATCTGCCTCTGGGGCTTGTCGAGTGGATGAGACACATGGTGGCTGTGCGGCTGTGGCCTCAGCATCGTCTCGCTTCAGAACTGGCTCCAAAGGTCAAGCAGAGACCCTTTGGGCTACCCAGAGCTCCGGCAGGCAGCCGTCTTCCGGCAAGTGGTGTGCTTCTCCTGACTCCTCTGTGGCTTTACACTGTGGCATGGGTGGGAGGAGGACCTAGTCCAGGAAGCAATCACACTTTGCCCCCCCCCCGCACATCAACCACCATGTAATACAACCACAACATGTGCGCGTGTCGAATTTAGGAATGAAGGTCTGGAGCAGGGAGGCCAAACTGCCGCTCAGGTGCCACATGCGGCTCTTTCACATCGTCTAATTTAATTTTAATAAAAAGCAAATTTCCATATCTTTCAATAAAAATGTGTGTGTAATATTTGTCTTGCAGCTCTCAAACATATGACGTTTATTCTGTGTGGCTGTTACATTGAGCAAGTTTGGCCACCCCTGGCCTAGAGGCAATATCCCTTCTGGTGGTGGGACGATTCATGCTCCACCAGTCCCTGTCCCCACCCCACAAAGCCTGAAGGACTTCTTGATCTCCCAGGGATGCAGTCGCTGTGCATTTCTGCAGTGAGCAAGAGGTGGAGACTAGGTGACCTCCAACACCTCTGTCCACTCAATGTATGGTTCTGAGGCCATAAGAGGCAGCTTCCAAAGGCTCAGCACAGAAGAGCACGGGGGATAGAATGGACCTCTGGGGCACTCCATGCTTCAGGTCCCAGCTAGCTAATACTGCCTTACCAAGGGAAGCGCCTTGTTTCCTACTAACTTAGCAGGGGTTGGATTCCATTGATCTCAAGAGGATTTCTGAATAAATATGTTCGGGACTGTGTTGTTGGTGTATCAAGGAAACTCCTGGCCTGTAGTTGAAGTGCAGGTCTCCTTCTGATACAGCTACAGTCAGAGATTTGAAAAGCATGAAGGGAAGGGATGTGGCTCAGTGGAAGAGCCTCTGTTTGGCATGCAGAAGGTCCCAGGTTCAATCCCTGGCATCTCCAGTTAGAAAGGACCAGGCAGCAGGTGGTGGGAAAGACCTCTGCCTGAGACCCTGGAGAGCTGTAAAGAGGGGCTGTGGCTCAGTGGCAGATCCTCTGTTTGGCATGCAGAAGGTCCCAGGTTCAATCCCCGGCATCTCCAGCTAAAAGGAAGCAGGCAGGAGGTGATGGGAAAGACCTCCACCCGAGGCCCTGGAGAGCGCTGCCATTTTGGGCAGACAATTACTGACCTTGGTGGAGTCCCAGGGGTCAGCTTCAGTACAGGGCCGCGTCACATGTTCATGTGTCCCCGCTCAGTTTGAGTCCCAACTGAGTTCATCCATCTGTCACTGGGTGTGTGTGTGTGTGTGTGCTGTTGTTGGTGCAGCTGGAGGGACAACAGACTAGGATGCGCTCATGGGCTCCTCCCCTAAACCAGGATGGCTGATCTTATGTTCAAGCAGTTTATGTGGCACAATAAAGCTTCTGCCTAGATTTCAATAATTTCCAGATTAATTAGACTTTATATAAAGCAGAAACCCACAAGCAGATCTTTGGTTCAGTTCAAGTGATATTTGCTCGTTTGGTCCATAACCCAAAATCTACCTCCCGCCCCCTGGAATGATCATATGCGTGCGCACACACACACACGCACGCAACCACGCACCCTTTCCCCACTTCAAGTCAGCCTTGGACGGCCAATGCGCCCCATTTCATGAGCCCTCTTCATCCACAGGGCATCCTGTCAGAAGCTATTATTATAATAATATACATGGAGAGCTTAGAACAATAAATACTCAAGTATTCCTCAGTTGCAAGACAGCTGTGACCCCAGCCCCCCCCGCGGGGGGGGAAAGAATCTGGTGCTTTGCACCCCCACAACCAGTGTCTGCAACACACACACACACACACACACACACACACAGAGAATGCTTGGAAAGGGTCCCCTTCTTCCGTGTGTCTGCTTGTTGTCCGGGGCAAACCGCTGCAAAGGCTGAGGGAGCCGGCCAGAGTTCGGTCCTTGTCTGAGCCTCCAGCCTCGGCAGAGGTGGCAGGGTCCCTTCAAGCAAGCAGACCCAGGCTGCAAAGCTGCCAGCCCCCTCCAGTCTCAGATGCAACGAAGGGGAACCTTAGCTGGACTCCCTGGTGGGGACTCCGGTCGGTGTTGGTGCAGCACACCCAGTTTCTGGGGCCAGGGGGATGGGGAGGCTGTCCCCCCCCCCACCCTCAGCTGAGGATGTCCAAGTAGACCGGAGGGGCCTTGGCCAGGGCTTGCAGCCTGCTGTGGATGTTCTTCATCGTCTGCCTCTGCTGCGGTTCTCTCTGCCAACAGCTCTGCATGATGTCATAGACCTCCGAGGGACAGGTCCGGGGCCTCTCCAGCTCTCGGCCCTGGGTGATGCATTCAATGGCCTGTGGGGTGGGGCAAGAAGCGGGGGGCAGTTATAGAATCCTAGAAACACACAGAGTGGGAAGGGGCCATACAGAGACCATCCAGTCCAGCCCCCTGCTGCCCAATGCAGGACCAGCCTAGAGCATCCCTGACAAATATTCCTCCAGCCTCTTCTTGGAAGCCGTCAGTGAAGGGGGGAGCTCATCACACCTCCCTGGGCAGCTGATTATTCCACCTTTGAGCCACTCTGAAGCTGGCAGCTGTGGAGGAATCCCAGTGGAGCCACCGTGTGTGTTCGGGGGTGGGAAGGTCCTGCCCCTTTAACACCAGCTCACTGAGTAGAAATGGGCCGCTGAACCCTTTCATGGCATAGAGGTAAGTGACATCCCTGAAAGCCTCCATTAAAGGGCTGGGCGTTTTTTCTCCACGCAGGTGGCATCTGTACCCTCGCCCCGCCAGCAAACTGTTCTTTCCCAGGGAACTGGGGGGGGGGGCACAGCAGGGGTGCTTCTCTTTGTCAGAGGAGGGGGCACAAGGCATGTGGGGGGGCACGTCAGCCCTTCCGGCTGCCCAGACTGCTGAGAAGTGCCAGCCAGGCCAGCAGGTGGGGGCTTTGGGCCTCTGGCAGCGGGGCACTGAGGGATCCACAAGAAGGCCAAGAAGGAAGTCCACCCAGCCCGTGGCCACTCAGAGGTCAGAAGGAAGCCCGTGAGCAGGGCCCCCTGGCCCAGCACCTCTCCCTCCCCCCTTTGGCGGGCCCTCCCCGGCCGGCCCTGGCACTTCGTTGTCTCTCGGCCCCTGGCTGGCAGCCCTCGGCAAACACATCCTGAAGTGCCAGCAGCACCCTGTAGCGTGAATGCAGACCGGTGCCTGCCTCCTTGGCAGAGATTTCCAGGCACGTGGGTGAAAGGCGATTGGGTCTTCCTGGGCAGAGCTGTGGCCCACGGAGGGTCACAGCCTTCCTTCCTTCCTTCCGTGCGGATGCAAAGCGAAACGGGCCATTCTGAGTGTTCCTGAGCTAAACCACGCAGGACAGCCCGTTGCCTCGGAGGCTGCTGAAACCCGAAATTTGCCCACCGGCCTCTCTGAGACTCAAGGTGGATTGCAGAGCAAAGAGGAAGGGGAACCATGCAGCCTCACAGTGTAAGACATCCAAAAAACAACGCAGGAGGCAGGGCCGGCTCACTCACTAGGCGAACTAGGCATTCACCTAGGGCGGCCCGGCCCTTAGGGGCGCCAAACTGCACCCAGCCCCCCCCGCCCCTGCCAAAAGCTCTGACTGGGTGACCGCCACCTCTTTCTCCCCAAGTCTGGCAAGTGAGCCCAGAAGCGCTTACTGCAAGCACAGCGTCCTCTGCGCCAACCCCCCCCCCCATTTCTCCTCTCCTGCACTGCACAAAATGCTTTTAACAGACTTGCCTGGATAAATGGTTACACTCCTGTGCAATGTTCCCTCTAAGCTGTGGAGTCATGTGAGCAAAAATACTACTTTCTGAGCTACTGGCATTGTGGGGGGCGGCGGCACACGGGGAGGCGATGAATGGGGGAGGGGGCGCATGGGGGGGTGCCAGAAGGGATCCCTGCCTAGGGTGCAAAATAAGCTGGAGCCGGCCCTGGCAGGAGGTGGTGGCAAGGCAGGGAACGTGGCCAACAACAAGCTGACGGGGATGGCCTCCAGGCTCCACTGTGGCCTCTGCCCGTCTGTGTGTGCGTGTGCGTGTGCGTGTGTGTGTGCGCGCGCGCATGCGTGGGGAGGCGGGTGGCTCCCGTCTACAACTGGAACATCGCTGGGTCAGGTGGCCCAATGCTGGAGGACAAGATCTCCATCCCTTTAACAGGATGCTGTTTACCAGGGACTGTTAATTTGCCTCCATCTCATGAAAAGCTTCAGCGGCCCGTTTCCGTGCATTCGGCCTCCACGAAAAGGACAGGGCAGCTGGCTGGCTGGCTGGCAGCCCTCTCTGCTCTCAAACCCCCTGGAAAGCCCCAGCTCCTCGGGCTGGCCCCAAGCCACAGAGTCTGCCCCCCCCGCCCCCACCCCAAACAGACCACCCCTCTTGGCCGTGTGTTCAGTCCCTGCACAGGGTGGGAGTCGGCGCCTTGTTTCAAAAGCAGCGCTGCCGATCATGGGGCACACGGCAGGAACGTCCCCTGCACTTTGGGCACAGGCAGACCACAGCACGATGGCGTGGAGGCGGGGCCTGTGCATCTCTTGCGCCATCTCCCCCTCCCCCTCCCTCCCCCCACCCAGGGAGTGGACGTCTGTGCGGGACTCGTGATGGGATCCGTCCGTGGGGAGGGGGCTCACGGTCACAGTCTGTGGCAGCAAACCTAAACAGGACTCCAGGAACACCTTGAAATCAAAATGATTTGGCTGCAGTCCAGGGAACAGTTTCCTGGGTGTAAGCCACACTGAGGAAAACTGGATTTATTTCTGAATAGACTGGCTTGGGTTTGCTCCCTTTTTTGGGGGGGGGTTCTCAATGCTTCACTGAAACATCTGCTTCAACAAACAGAGACTCCTGCTTGTCGCCGCTTACCTCAGTGTTGGAGAGCTGGTACCATGGCTGCTTCCCGTAGGTGAAAATCTCCCACAGCACCACCCCAAAGCTCCAGATGTCACTCTCTGTGGTGAACTTCCGGTAGAGGATGCTTTCCGGGGGCATCCAGCGGATGGGCAGCATGGTCCGGCCCCCCACCTGCAGGGAAGGGGGGGCAGAAGGTGAGCGCTCGGCAGGCCACCCCCCCCATCCTCCAGACACCCCCAGGGCACTCCCTGTGTGTGTGTGTGTGTGTGTGTGTGTGTGTGTGTGTGCGGGGGGCGGGGGGGACATGGATGGACATGGCAAGATAAAGAAACCTTTGTTCCCCAAATTTTCGCAGCTGTGAGGACTTGGGGCAGGGGGACTGTGTGGTATTCTCCATAAAAACCCATGAAGGCCGGGCACTCGGTTTAATGGGGTGGGGTGGGGGACTGGTAGCTGCCAAGAATGCAAGGCCTGTGCCAGCCACCAGAGCCTGCCCGTCGTGTGGGGTCTCCACCAGGACTGAAGGAAGAAGTTCCTTTCCTTTTACAGAGGTTTAATGAGTGGAGATGGAAACACGGAGCTGGAAGTTACCCCACCCAAAGGCCATCTGTTCTAACCCCCTGCAGGGAATCCACCAGTACCTCCGCTCCCTCCACTCCCCATCCCCGCCCCCGTGGGTGGCCCAGGAGGCTAGCCCGATCTCATCAGGTCTCAGAAGCGAAGCAGGGTCGGCCTTGGCTGGTGTTTTGGAAGGGTGACCTCCAAGGAATACCAGGGTCGTCATGACGCAGAGGTAGGCCATGGCAGGCAAGCCACCTCTCTGAAAGGTCTCCTGCCTTGAAAACAAGTCTAGCTTGCCAGTTAGTGATGCAGAACACTAAAAGAGCTGGAACGTCTGGGTGCCAGACAACCTTAGGGTGTATTGGCTATTCTGCACACAATGCCATACGATAAATATCACTCATTCCCCCAGGGACCCCTGCTCTGTGCCCAGAGGAAGGCAGGAAACCTCCAGGATCCCTGGGTCAGTTTGGCCTGGAGCTGGAGGAAAATTCCCTCCTGACCCCAAAGTGGTCATCAGCATTACAAGAGCCGAGCCCTGCCTCATCCTTTCCTGCCCTCCCTCCTCCTGACCTGCACAAGTCCACAGAATCCGCATGGCTGTCGGATGGGGCCACCGAGCCTCTGCTTGGAAACCTCCCGAGAAGGAGAGCCCACCACCTCCTCCCGAGGAAGCCTGTCCCACTGAGGGACCGCTCTGACTGTCAGGGAGTTCTTCTTGATCACGGGCCAGGATCTGAGGGGAAATGGCCATGGAGTGCTGCCCTCACGGGGCGCCTGAGACGCGGCAGCCGTTTCCTCCCAGGGATGGGAAGGCAGGAGGGCTTGCTCAGCGACTCTCCGGCCTCCTTTCACGGCTTCTGCAGTTGGAAGAGTCACTCTGCTTTTTCACTCCTCTGCTGGCCGGCAGTTTATGTCACTGGACCATCAGCAGTTGTGCTGCTTGGAGAAAGGCCTCCCAAACCGACGTCTCCCTCTCTGCTCCCCTGTCCCCCCCCCACAACCCCAAGAGGGCGAGCTCTGCAGAGGCAGGCAGCGTCTCACATGGAGAGGCTCTTCTCGGCTCCTTCCGGGGCAGGGCGATGAGAAATGTGGCCAGTGTTCCCTCTCAGCTGAGTCAGTGTGAGCTAGCTCACAGTTTCTTAGCCTCTGGCTCACACATTTTTGCCTTAGCTCAGGGAGGATGTGGCTCCAGAGCAAACTGATTGATGCAGCAGCCAAATCGCTCGCTCGCAGCTTTAATGCCCGTAACTCACAAAGTAGAATTTTTGCTCACAGCTTAGAGGGAACATTGAATGTGGCCCCTGCGTTTTAGGGGTGGGGGGAGAGGGGGTAGTTCCCCCACCACACTCCAAACGTGGGCTGCCGTGAGAGCAAGGAAGAGACTGCCGGTGCCCTTAAGAGAAAGGCGAGTGAGCCAAGGTGCGCTTTGGGACGCAGCTGCAGACAGCTCCTCAAGAAGCCAGGAACTTTCCTGGCTCCATCCTGCTCAGACTTTCCCCACTATCTGCCTCTCTCCCCTCTTTAATTAATGGAAACTCCCTGCCTGCCTGCCTGCCCCCCTCCAGCCGGGGCTCCTGTGCTTCCACTGCCTAAGTGCTTGCAGGTTTTTCCACCACAGGCCCCCATTAAATATGGATGGAGGTCCAGGGCAGAAGCTAAAAGGGAAAAAGATAATCAGGAGTGGCCCCGGTGGATTCCCTGCCTGTCGCAGAGGCAAATCCCTTCAGAGCCCTTGAGGGAAAAGAGGCCGGCCTTGATGGGCCTGCGGCTCCGCTCCGCAGCAGCCCGGGGTGGGGGTGGGGGGTGTTTCCCTGGCTTCCCAGAAGGCATTCCTCAGCCTGCCGGGCCTCATGCCCTCCTCGAGGAAGGAGGGACTCGCCTGCTCGGAACCGCTGGGCCCTGCCCCCCTCCCCCGTCGCCTAGGCAGCCTCGGGCTCCTTTGACAGCCGCCTGCACGGACCCTCCAGCAGGTCTCTGGGGGAAGCTGCCACACGGAAGGAGATCTCCTGCCAGTGCCCAACCCCTCCTCCGCCACCTCGGCCTGACCCATGGCGGGCAGAAAAGGAGGAGACCCAGGAGAGAGGCGGAGGGGAGGGGAGGGGTGGACTCTGCCCCTGTGGGGAGGCCCTCGGAGGAGAGGGGGGGGGAAGAGTCCAGAGTGGGGGAAGAGTCCAGAGCGGAGGTGAGGGGATGACCAAGGACACCCCAGATCGGGCCCAGGAGGGGCTTCCTCAGGAGGAGGAGGAGGAGGAGCCCCGCTCACCCGGTAGTAGTCGGTGCTGTAGATGTCGCGGGACATGCCGAAGTCCCCAATCTTCACCACCAGGCTGCGGCCGACCAGGCAGTTGCGGGTGGCCAGGTCGCGGTGGACGAAGTGCAGGGAGGCCAGGTACACCATCCCGGAGGCCACCTGCGTGGCGATCTGCAGCATCTGGCTGAGGGTCAGTGGCCCAAAGGACTGGCCGCTCCCGCTGCTGTCCAGGATCTTTGCGTCCGGCCCGTGGGACCTGCCGGGAGGGGGAGGGTCGTTGGCCTGGGGTCACCAGGAGCGCTGGGGGGGGCCCGTGGGGCGGCCGTTTTATTCCGAGGGGCTTCTGTGGTGCGGAGAGCAGGATTGCACCCCGTCATCCCATGGGAAACCTCAAATTCTGCTTGAAGTGTTTCCTGGGCAGTTAAGGCCAGCCGGGCGGTTGGTGGCGGGCACATCTGAGGCTGACCACAAAGCCCGCCCGCGAAGTGGTGCCCAAGCCGGCCGGGGCCCTGGAGGCTGTGGAGCCGCCGCCCAGAGGTGTGCACATGGGGATCAGAGAAGGACTTACTAGGATCACCATCTGTTGGCACCTTAAACGCTGGGGTTGTTTATATGGTTTTAGGATCATGCAAATTGCTTAGTGTTGTTTCTATTCTTTCTGTAGGCCTCCCTGGGCCGGCCTGGGCTGGGGGGGTGGGGGCAGAAACACGACAACAAGCGAGCAGGCGAGCGGGCGGGGTGGTGTGCAGAGGCACCTCTTCCCTGCGCTTCCCATGCTCCCTCCTGCCCGTGGGAACGGACAGTGCTCAGTTTGCACCACTTGGAGCCACTTCAGAGGCTACCGGAAAGGACGGCGGGGCGGGTGGGAGAACAGGAAGCGGGTCCTTCCAATCCCTCCCCCTTCTCCGGGGGGGGGGCTGGGCGGCAGGGTTAGAGCGGGGCTTCCCCAAATCCTTGCCTCTTCGCAAGGCCGCAGCCTCCCCTCTTGCTCATCGGGGAGGGGGCCTCGCTTGACACAGAGCGTGGCCGACAGTGGCGGGTGAGGCACCCCAGGCTCCACTGAAGCCCAGCCATTAATGCCACGTCTGATAACAATAACCATCAAAGGCGTGCTGTGGAGCTCGCTCGCTCGCTCGCTCGTCCCAGAGACACTCAGCAGGGCCGTTGGCAGCTCCCGGCTATTGGCAATACCTGGGGGGCCAATTGAGAGAGCCTCTGCTTATTCCAGCTGATGGCCAATCTCCCTCAATTTGAGCCTCTCAGACAGTTAATCTAATCAATATTGCAAGGGAAGATTGCATTAGTGGGGGGGGGAGGGCTCCTGCC